CGGAGAAAAATCAAAATGATGAAAAACGCATGCAAAAATAAAATAGATGTGAAAAAAGAGTGGATTATTGCGAGCAGGTAACCTTCTGTGCGAGCATAATTTAATTAAATTCCATTCATATTTTATGGAATATATTATTTCGGTAAAATCGATGGAATTATAAACTAGCAAGTTTTGTGCGTTTCCAGTTCAAATGATGGCCTTTTCCACTCTTTTTTTTTTCAATTTATATATTTTCGTCCACTCTCCAGTATTGTTGTTATTGCGTTTGTTGCTATTATTATCGAGGTCTGCATTTATAATCATTATATATTCTTTTCCTGAAACGAATTCAATTGATGAGGTATGTATATGTATATACATATCGGGAATATGCACGAATAAATAATGGCACAGTATGGCTTCATTAAGCGATTATTTATTGGGCTGCGTTCGGTTAATGATGCTGATGTTATGTATTATTTAGAGGCGAGCTGATTTATTGCCACAATAATTTTATTAACTGTCTCAGGCAACGAGACCGTCTCTTTTCACCCGCAGCTTCACTTATGTAACTCCCTTTTTGATTTATTTCGTATGCATAGCTAAGATTCTCCTAGTCAACTGTAAATTATTGTGTATGTTTGGTATTGCCTGCATACTTACTTTTTTTTTATTCTTTGTCATTGTCAGCAGAAATATAATTTCGTTAAATCTTACCAAGTACATATATAATTTATAAACCAATACAGCAACACCTTGAATAGTGCGGGTAATCGGTTCCGCCTATATCCCGGACTGATTGAATCCGAAATATTCAAAGAATTAAATACATATTTAATTTACAATCTTATTCCTGCAAATATTAATTATATCTAATGGCGGTAGACATTTGTTTTTTGGTTAATTTATCAATGGAAGTTTTTACCATTATATTCTTCTATAATTTGTTGGTTAGTTGCCGTCTTGTAGGTTAACTTCTGTATTTTAATGCTTTGCGATCCCACTATTCCCTTTGTCTGTTTATCTGCTGCTATCCTTAACACTGTCATTGTCCATCGACTTGGTTGAAGGTCCATATGCTAAACCTCATTCATTTGACTGTCTATCTGTGATGAACGATGGCCCTTTTGCTGCAAGCACCGAGAGGGCTCACAAGGGGCCTGATTTGACCAGGATTCGAATCGTGGGTAGGGCGACTTAAAAAAATCAAAAAAATAACGTTATAAACATTTTTTAGAATATTTTTTTTATTTTACTCCATTATAATCGCAAATAACATTGATTACATAATCATTCAAATATTTATTATATTACTAAGTATTTATTATATTTCATATTTTTTGATCAATTATGAATTAAAAAATACATAGATGATTAATAAATGATACAAATTATTCTTGATTTTCACAATGTATTATCATGCAATTTCACCAATTTAATGCATATTTCTTTGACTTGGTACAGACAACTACAATACATTATGTTTATATATTTGCTATATGATGAACATTTTTATAAATCTAAACTAAAAATAAACTATATATAAATATCGCAAAATTACAGCTGTAATTCGTATTGCGTTATATAGTAACCACGTTAAGAGAAATACTTGATTTGTTACGATTAAAACGGTTATGAAATATTTGAATACATATTTCAAATTATGTGCATTGAATTTCAGAAAATTCTTAGAAGATATGTGAAAAACAAAATGAAATACATTAAGAAATCGTTTGACACTTAAAAAAAATATAGGACCCCTTTGTAGAAAAATATACGATCCTGTCTGTCATCAATTTTTCTGGCACCCACACTTTGAGAATCACTGGTTTAGTGCAATTGTTTCACAAACTATGTTCCGCTGAACATTGGTGTTCTTCTGAAAATTAATAGGTGTTCCGTGAAAAACTAGAATGATATAATTACTAAATAAATAATGAATGTTTTTTCTAATTTTTTAAAAGTTTATTGATTATGTGTTATTACCTATCCTATAAAATAAACAAGGTATTCCGTGAAAAATTCAAGATTTACGAAGTATTCCGTTGCAGGAAACGTTTGGGAAACAGTACATTCTCGATTAACGCTGATTCGATAACATGTTGATGTTCGAAGCATCAACATGAAAAATATGTTAATATGACTTCGTTTAATGGTGTTACGTATATCGCTTGTTGTTGAACGTATCCTAAACGTTAAATGAGGTTTTACTGTGTAAACAAAAACTGTATTATAATTTTTCAATTATTTTAAAAAGAAGATGTCAAGTGACAAAACTAATATATACGTGTATATATCTATGTTATTTGATCATTCGAGGAAAGTTCGAGGTGCGGGATTTCCAATTCCGAAGATTTTGATTGTATCGCAACAACTGCAATAAAAAGTCCCACCATTATTTGTTATAGTTCTTCTCGATGCGATTACCAATTGGATGAGAAGAGTATGAGTGGGGCGGGTTTTGGACCGTTGCGCTTTCCAATAAGAACAGGAAAAATAATTTCGTAGTTCGTGAATATTTATACGAAAAACGAGTAGTAAGAGAGAGATATCCAGGTGATGTGTCTGCTGGGGTGGCACAAACTTATATGAATTTATACATTGCCGACGGTTAAAATTTTACGGCCATTTCCACCTTTCATCCGAGCCGCCGTGCCGCACCAGTAACATAAGCCATCTCCATTCCATTTTAGATATTTATAATATTATATATATAAAGAGGAAGTGGAAGTGTGTATGGGTGTGTGTGTATATAGCGGTGATGCGGCCGCCCCCAACTTCAGTCTGTATAAATATATTTTTCTGCATTGAATATTTAATGCGATACAAATTGAGAAGTTCATTTTCTCGAAAACCATCAGAACTCGAACTGGACGTCAATGCATTATTAAACGACCGCAGAGGGATGCCGTGCCAAGGGGGAAAATTACCCCTTATGAAATTTTCACTCTTTTAATATATTTATATCGACGGACATGCACACATACTACACATTGAAAACACGCTCGCATTCGCACAAAAGCTCCCAATTGATATCAACCATTTCGTTGTTCAAAAACCCACCCCCATTGCGACCCTTTCACTTAATACAAATAATTAAATTAGAAAAAAAGAAACACACAGTGGAATCTTAATTAAAAGGAGCTTTAATAGGTACAATTTGTGCCAGCTTTATCATTTCACTACCCTCTGCCCTTTTTTTTATTATTTTTCTTTGTTTCTTTGCGTGCTTTCAGTTTCTAATTATAAGAACGGACGAGAACAATTTCATTTGTAGTATATCTTTCTTATTTAGCGTTTCAATTTAATTCTCCCAGCAATTCCGTATTCCGTTAATTAAATCGCTAAGGGCAGATTATGCTCAGCAGGCGCCACCTATCACTCACCGAAAAACCCTTTCTTTACAGATAGCGGCCTCCATCTGTTGTCGAGTAGTGGAAATTTCCAATACTTGCGAAGCCTAGACCTCTCCGATAATGAGATTACTGATCTACTTTGGACATTGCAGATTTTACAGGAATTAAAGTCCATATACTCGTTACAGTTGGAAGGAAATCCTTGCTACGTATGCGTTTACTCCTGTTCTTTCAAAGATGGCACAAAACATATTGCTCTAGGTCGTTAGTGGATACAAAGACTACATTCTACGCTACTTTCCAAACTTAGTTTATCTGGATAATGTTAAAATTCTTCCAGAAGATAGAGCAATTGATGATGCTGGTACCAATTTAGGTGACGCCGCTATCATTTTCACATGCCATCGAATTGTAGGATTGCCTGCACCACCAAAAGAAGTACATCTCTTTAATTAAGTAATAATTTTTTACTGTTATTCTTTTCACCTAGAAAGGTACAATCCAGAAATTCTTCTTTGAGGTGAGTGTCTCTTTACTGGAAGAGGTAATTGTGGAATCGAGCGTCGAAGCGATTAATACAGAAGCACCGAAGAAGCGAGATAAATCGAAGTCTTCTAAGAGCTCCAAGAAAAGTAAAAAGGGAAAAGCGTCAATGTACTCCGGCCCGGATGAATATAAAGAGAACGAAAAGAGCACCAGTTTTAAGACGGAAAGGTTCGGGTGGTCCAAGGTAATGCAATTACCGGAGGACGCTCTCGTAATCGAATCCTTGAAGAGAAACTACACAGACATCAGAGATACTTTCCGAAGTACCGTCAGTGTTAAACTTATTTACTTCAAGGTGAGCCGCGAGGGCGGATGATCCAATTATTGCAGACGAGATTACCATGTGCTTTCTTTAAAAACGTAATGATATTTAATGCTTTCGTATTGCGCTGTAGACAATCCCGCCGTCTAAAAAGAAGAAAGGCAAAGACAAGAAAAAGGGTAAAGGTAAAAAGGGGAAGAAGGCTTCGTCGAAGGGCTCGAAGAGCTCGAAGGGCAAAAAGTCTAAAGGCGGGAATAAAGAGAAGATGAATAACGATTCCGTGAAAGTTGTTGAAGAACCTAAAGAGATTGTTTTAAAAAAAGTATCAAATTTAATTTATTTAACATACATTTTTCTTATTAGATTATTCTTCTAGTTAACTTTAGCGGATTTTAATTGTGATTTGCATACTATCAATTGGAGTGATAAAACAATCGATTTTTTTTGGGCAAACCATCCGCAATTGGGTAATAAGGGTGTCGAAATTGAGGGTAGTCTGCGCGTCTGTTTTAAGCTTCTTTTAATTAACTATGAGTTTAATTTAGAGTATCTATATTCTAGGATTTCAAATACTCGGAGGGAGGTAAAAAAGGAAAAGGTGGAAAGAAAGGTAAAAAGGAGAAAAAATCGAAAAAAGAAAAGAAAGGTAAGAAAGGATCTAAAAAATCAAAGGAGGGCGAAACGGAAAATGAAGCGGTAAGCTTAGAACCACAGAAATTATCAGTTCCGAATATACTCACAATTCACATTGGTTTCGGCTTAATGAGAAGCTATAATGTAGTAGTGTAAAATTGATTAATGAGCGTTAATAAAGAGGCAACGACCTAGAACCAAATTGCTTTTGTAGGAAGTAGAGTTCCTTTAAAGGTTTTTTTTGCGGCGGGTTCTTCAAATGTCGGTGGCCCTAATCCCCGACGTTTACAGTCAGATTTCGTTTATTGATATTAATAGGAAGTGGAAAATAAACCTTGGATTAAAGCATGTGTCGTCGTCCACTACTTATCATCAATTATTCCTGATAGCATAATAGGCAGGAGTTGCTGCCGTACGAACGATTGTAACATTTAGTTGGTGCCTGAAAAGACGACCAAGTGGATACGGCAATGGACACCGTTCCCAAAGACTGTGAAAATGCAGACGAAAAGGCAAAGCAGAGAGGAAGTTGGGCAAACAAAACAGAATTCCTGCTATCCTGCATGGGCTACGCGATCGGAATTGGAAACGTGTGGCGCTTTCCCTACTTATGTTATAGAAATGGTGGAGGTATTGTACACAGATTTACATAAACTATGAATTAAGTTCAATATATGCTAAGTTATTGTTTAGTAATGCTAACGTACTACATAAATATACATAAGCCATGTTCAATAATTAATACGAAATTTAACATATTTCATGTATTATGTAGATGAACTGTAATAAAAACAATGTAAGATGATATTGGGTGGGCAGACTAAATATAATTTAATAGACTAGTGTCTATTTTTTATGGAAATGTAACTTCTGGTATAACAATTAAAGCGGAAAAACTTTTACGTGAAAACTTGGGCAAGTTTAAATTACCTCTAAGAGCGGTTTCATTTAATTGAGATTTTCAACTCGTAAAGTAAATCAATTTGCTTTATAGTTTACCATTTACTTAATGCGAATGTTAATCATTATTAACGTATATTATTAAAGATAATGCGTCTGTTTCAGGTGCCTTCTTAGTGCCGTATCTCCTGATGCTTACATTATGCGGAATACCATTATTTTTCATGGAAACTTCACTAGGACAGTTCGCAAATACTGGATGCATAACGCTATTTAAAATATCCCCTTTGTTCAAAGGTAAGCAATATTATAAAGAGTTTCCTTTGAATTACATTATTTCTGCTCAATTCAACAGAATATAAGCTTTCGTTTGCATGCAGAAAAATCGCATTTTGTATTTTCGTTTTCATTTCCAGGAGCTGGATATGCCATCGTTATTGTTAACTTAATATGTACCTGCTACTACAACGTTATTATATCTTATCCATTGTTGTTTATCATAAACTCGTTCAGAGCTAAGTTGCCTTGGGTCGATTGCAGTAATCCTTGGAATACGCCAAATTGTCTGGAGGTAATTAAAGTTACAATGTTATTTAATTGATTTTATTTTAATTTTGCTAAAATATTTAGTTAACTAGCCGATATCTAAATATCAGCACGGCGCACGGAATGCCTAAAACTCCAGCTGACGAATTTTTCCAGTAAGTTTATTTACATGTAAATCAATTATTTTACTAATTAATATGTTTGTTACAGTAATAAAATATTGCAAATTTCCAATAACGTCAATGAGATTGGCACTATTGTGTGGCCATTATTCTGGTGCAATGTAATTGCTTGGATCGTCGTTTATGTTTGTATAATGAAAGGCGTGAAAACAGTAGGAAAAGTAGTCTACTTTACAGCCACATTTCCTTTCGTCATTCTATTCATTCTTTTAATACGAGGATTAACTTTACCCGGCGCCTGGGATGGGGTGTTTTTCTACCTTTACCCCGAATGGAATCAGCTCACCAATTTGAAGGTAACAGTCTAAATAAAATAAAACATTCACATTTATCCTAAATCGGTTCTCGTTTTATCAGCATAGTATTAATTTTATTTGCAAAAGCTTAAATTTAATGGTTTATAATTACTTATTTTTATACAACTTTAATATTTTTGTAGGTTTGGGCTGACGCCGCGATTCAAATATTCTTTTCCTTAGGTCCTGGCTGGGGTGGCATTATAAATATGGCTAGTTTTAATAACTTCAATAATAACAATAGAAGGTTAACTTTCAGATAATTAATTGTAGTTAAAAATAATAATTTCATTCTTTAGAGATTCGATTCTGGTGCCTATTTTGAATTGCGGCACGAGTATTTTAGCAGGGTTCGTGGTTTTTTCGGTCTTAGGTTTCATGTCCAAGAAAACTGGATTGCCAGTGTCGACAGTAGCAACTGGAGGTCCAGGATTAGCCTTCGTTACTTACCCTGAGGCTATAACAATGCTACCTTTACCACACCTTTGGGCTATAATCTTTTTCATCATGCTCTTCCTATTAGGTTTGGACAGTTGCGTAAGTTTATGGAAATATTAAAGTGAATACATTTTATTTATGTTGCATTCAGTTTGTACAGATAGAAGCCATTATATCCAGCATAATCGACGAATATCCATCTCTGAGAAAGTCTAAAATGCTTGTAAGCTTAGTCTCGTGCTTTGTTATGTTCCTCTGCTCCATCTTATTTGTAACAAACGTAAGTTAAATCAATTATTTTTTTGTCAAGCCTTTTCTTTTTTATCCGAATCGAACTGATCCGGTGGGAAATCTAAATCTAATTGAATTATTGATAACCCTTGAGGGCTAACTTAAATTGTAATAATTGTAATTTCATTTCATCGTGATTACAAATAAAAAAATATAGGCTACGGGGAAAAAAGAATCATAATTTGCCTCGCCTATTCCATAAAACCGATAGCGACACGGCACGATTTTAATTAGTGCGGATGTTTGTATGTTGTTTTTTAAGGGCGGCATGTATTATTTGCAATTATTCGATTGGTATGCAGCATCGATCTCGGTAATTCTGATCTGTCTGGTGGAAGTTGTCATAGTCGGATGGACTTATGGAACGGATAGATTTGTGAGCGACGTAGAATTCATGATCAAAGAAAAGATCCATTGGTGGTGGCCTCTTTGTTGGAAGTACATCACTCCTATTATCCTTACGGTAAATTTTAACTACTTATTTGTACACTGCTTGTACTAACTACATGATATTTGTTAAGTGCCATGAATTCATGCAAGTACACTTTAAACACTACAAAAGATTATTAATACATATTAAACGCACAATACTTGTCAAGTAACATGTGTTCACACTATTGATAATATATTTGTATGTATAATTACTCATTCGACTCCTATTTGGTAATATTTATAGTTTATCTTCTTCACGACAATTATCTTCAATACAACCATCACCTACCATGGAGTAATCTATCCCGAATGGTCTGTAACCTTGGGATGGTCATCGTGCCTACTTTCAATCCTGTGCATACCAATGTACATGGGATACAAACTTTTATATTTAAGCGAAGGCGACTTATTCGAGGTATAAAGCTCTTAATAATCATCTGCTATACGCACTCATCCAAGTTTAACTATGTTATATAACTTTTTTTACAGAGAATAAAACTATCGGTAAAGCCCTCTCTGGACTGGGGTCCGGCATTGGAGCACAATAGGAAGGAATGGTTGGTGCGCTGCGTTTTTAGAAAACAACTCGGTAAGTACAATTAATCTGGTTTTATTAGAATTTTAAAATTAATATAAAATTGCTTTTGCAGCGGAATTACATGAAAGATTGGAAGAGAACGCGGCAGATCTCGTCCATCAACAATTCGTGCAACTCGCAACAACTGAAGTTCTCATAAAATAATGTGTTCCAAAAATATAAATAGTTATAAATAGTCTTTTCATAATTATATTACAATTGTTTATATGTATTATTATTATTGCGTACAAATATATAATAAGGATTAAATATTTTAAAATTTAATTTTAATTAGATAAATTTTTAATGGTTAATTTGTATGGTTTCAAGTTTATATATAATGGCAAATCAATAATGACTAAAGAGGATTATTCTTTTTTACTCTTACAGTTTATTAAAAGCATAAAGGAGTACAAATAATAAAATAACAACCTCATTAGTACGTTTTGCGAAAAGTATATGATGTAACATTAATATAATGAATTTAAATATTATAAAAACAAGCTCGAAAATAATTGATGCCGCTATTTCTTATAACTTTTTTTCTATGAATTTTACGCAAATCTAAGTTGTTGAGTGTAAGTTACTTGTCGCTAAGCAAGTAGCTTTTTATATGTAAAATTAAATTTAGAATGTTAACGAACATAATCGATTTAAAGACAATGTTTGCTACCCGAATTATTCATTATCCGATCATCCATTTAAGAAACTGCTTAAGGTTCATCTTACCGCCAACGTCAATCAATGGGAAAGGTTCAAAAAGGTTCTTTATACGAACATATATTTGTTATGCCAACATAAATAATTTCACGAAAGTTTTGTTATTCGATTTGTTCGCAATCCGAATGCATTGTATTTAAAAAATAATATTGCCATAGAGACAATACAATTAAATATTTTATTATTATTGTTTCAATACTTTTTTGACACAATCTGTAGGTTCAAATGTCAGTATAAAAGAAAATCGATCGTGCTTCAAAATTGATTGTTCTCCAATTTGGAGTACTTAATACTTGTAAATTTTTAAATGCGTGCGTGAAATTCTTCATTAAACAAGATGTGTCCGAGGAAGGGCAGGAGGCGTAAGCCTAATGCCAAGAAATCGCCGGAAGAGCCAAAAGAATCATCTCCATCTTTTTATGCAATCATGCAAAAGCGATTACTCAAATGGTGGGAGAAGCCAGCAATCAAATATGCGTAAGTTAAATTTTCAAAAATTAATATATGATTTAGTTTTGAATAAATAATCGATATATTTCGATATGTATAATATTGGTATATAGGAGTGATTCTCAAAGCGTGTATCGAGGCCACCATCGCATATTTGGGGGGTCGCAGAAACTTTTTATGTCTAAAAGAAAGTCGCTATCCGAAAAGTTTGAGAATCACTGGTATAGAGTGTATACATGCAATATTTCCATCCATATATAAATAAATAAATAAATAAATTGCACAAAGACAACCTTATTTGTATATAAGAAATTTGAAAGACCATTAGGATTAGTAATTTTGTTTACTAATTATTTAGAATAGATTTTTATTTTGTTCAATTGTAGTTAATATTTTTTAAATTTGCAAATTGTTTCTATATGAATTGGTTTTAAACAAAGTATTAATATAAGTGTAGTATAGCAATCAATGAAATGCATTCGAGTTTCTAGTTTAAATTTTATAAAATATAAAATAAATTAAATAAACGGTAGATTAAAGTGAATTGCTGTGCAGTAAGAATTTCGTTTGAGTTATGAGTGTTTAGTGACTGGGAATTTAATTGTCGTCGAATCGTGTCTGGGAGTGCTTGTTGCCAAGAGCGTCGTAACCAAAACACAAGTTCGTTGTACCGTTTTTTATAATACGAGTAAAAGTTGATACTCCTTTTGTTTGTATGTTTGTACATGACCTGCCCCATCAGTTTCCCCTTATGCGCGTGAAGTGGATGGATTAAATGGGTAGGTGGCGATGGCACCTGAAATACCAACAACAAATTTTGATTGTTCACATCACCGGCTCTTCACATCGTGTGCAAGCTACACAATTCCGTGTTGTGCTGACTTTAATTGCAAAGTCCGCTAATTGACGAGCTCAGGTTTTTGGCTCCGTTACAAAAGCTCAGCTCTCTCTCTCTCATTACCAGTCTTCATTTGCAACGGTATGGAAAGCAGTTACTTCTGGAAGACGATCGACCTGCTCTTAAGCATCGATTACAAAAGATCCAACAAAGATTTAAGAGCTGATGCTGAGATCTGGGTTAATAAATTGATCGCAGAAAAATCAGAGGATGCGGATAACAATGTTATGTTAAAGAAGAGGCTGCTGGGTAGCGCCAGATCGGAAATATCTACAGTGAGAGTTAACAATGATGAAGTCAAAGTGTTCTTGAAACAGTTAAATTTACCACCATTTGTATGCCAGTAAGTAAATTTTGTTATCATTACAATTGTTAGTATATGATTTTTTCTTATAATGTGTTGCATATCATATTTCTCGTAATAAAATGTTAAATATTTGCACTTGTTTAAGCTTTAATTAATAATAAATCTAAATTTTTAAGTGTTATAAGCTTTAATCAGTCAAGTCACCAAAATTCGATATCAAAATAACCCACTTTAAAACCAATGATCTCATTTATTCTAAAACCTAAATTGTTCCTCTCTTATATTTTTCGCTTTCCATTACATTTAAATCCAAAAGCATATATTTCATTTTATTATTTCCTCTCTCGCCAAATTTCAATATCTAATATCCATATTTTCTTGATCTTGATTATTGTATATACTTATCTTCTATTATATTATCAATATTAATAACTTTTTGGCTAATTATATTTACTTTAAGTTTACCTATTTTTTTGTTTTGTTTATTGTTTTTGGATGCAATTTATGTCTGGTCAATAAATCATAATTATTAATTATTCAATTTAGGTTACAGTTAGTTATTATTTACATATACACTTTTTGCAGATTATATTTGTAATACTTATTAGATGTTGAATATTTTCTTTTTTTATACAAATCATGAAATATAAATTCCAGAAGAAGATTAAATTAAAAACAAGGGAAAAAATAATAAATTTAAACATAAACCTAAAAAACAAGAAACATTCTATAATGAAATTTCTAAAGAATAACAATAAAACAATTAACAATCTGGCCAAAATGTCTGTAGATGTAATTCTTTTCACCCAATTATTATCATTAAACCAAATTTACTGCATACCCAAAAGTTCTTTGACTTTTTCTTTATTTATGAAATGTGATGACTTTTAATTATATTTTTTTATGAAGCATAAATCAATGACCAACATGCTAACATAATGCATAAAATTGTTTTGTTTTATGGAAGACGTAAATTGTTTTTAGAGGTCGTAAATATAATAAACTTTAAATTTAGTGCCGAATTATCACATCAAGAAGAAGAGATAATAACGCGAAGACGCTTTATGCACACTTAAGATAGCTTTATATCAGAAACTAATTTATAAAGACAGGGTGATTGTGCATGATTAAATAATACGTTTATAAATATTTTTAATATAAATACAGAGTGGGTCAACTTCGACTGACTGATGTAAAATACATACAACGTTTGTAATTGTATTTTTTTTTTAGATTTTCATTTTTTAGATGAAAGTATAGTTTATTAGAATTTTTCTGATATAAGTGTAGAAAATAGTATCATTTAAATGACCTCCATTGTCTTGTTGACAAGTATTGACTTTTTCTAATGCATTTTTAGCTGCAAATTTGTTATTTCTTTACGAATTCTAAATCCAGTGATAACAATTGAATGGAAACATCTTCAAATCAAGTTTCAATATTCCTTTTAACGATTTTCTGAAGATGCCCAACTAAGTAGCACGTCGACGAGAAGACACAAATCATCATCTTTGACACTATGTCGTATAGCCACCACGGTTTCTTCATTGCGAACAGTACGATGAACATTTCATCGTTGATGATAACATACTACACCACGTTCCTAAAAATGGCTGATTAAGTTTCTAATCATGTTTACAATGGGAATTGTTGGAACATTAAAATGTGCACGGTATTTTTTTGTGCGTTGTAACAATACATCATCGGGAAATATAATAAAATTCTATAATTTTGACTAGTTCTTGCACTGAGCCATTACAAAATTTCTTTATAATCTACAATAAAAATAAATTTAAAATAATTAAAAACTCAAAGTTATTAATATTTGAAAACAGTCAGTACAAGTTGGCCCACCCTATAGATACAAAAGAATTAATTACTAAATATTGGTTAATGTAAATAATATTGATTTATACTATCAACAATATATTTATTTTTTGTTTAATACTAATAATAACATTAATTGCAACAAATCATCATACTACAATTAGAACAAACGTAATAAGAAAATAAATATTTGTTTAAATCTTATAAATATGTTGTTAACCATACATATAAAAAAAGATATTTTACAGTATTAAATATTACGTAATATGTATGGCAAGTATTTTTTAAAGCACTTGAACTTTTAAAGGTTTTGGACGTTGCTTTTATATTACATTATTATAGTAATCTGTTTTTATACAAAATAATGAAAAGAAATTTTAACTTTAGCATAGGGTATTTCATTCTTTAATAAAGTTCCCTATGTTTTTATAATCATCTACTGGCTATGTATTTGGTTTGGTATTAGATTTATTAGCCAAGAACTGGAATATTAATCTCGGTATTATTTTTCTCGGTCTTTTTCTTTTATAATCTGGATCATTGAAATCCCCTTCTTCGTATGTTCCTTCATCAGCCATTTTCTCCACCTATCGTTTTTGTGGTTTTTCTAAAATCTATTTAGAAGCTACACTACTGTAATTGAACGTTTGCTGATAATCACTAAAATCCCTATTTCTTCGGTGTAGAGTGTCACATTAATAACTACTTTAATGCAGATATATTTATTAATTTTTTTCATAAAAATTTCCATGAATTTAATAAATATTTTAATATCACTAATGTGTTTTTCATGAAAAAAGTTTCTTTCTAAATATGAAATAACATATTAAAAATATTCACATTACATGTGCTTATAGTTATTAAATTTTATTATTAAAATAACTGTGGTTCTTGTATGTGATTCAAGGCATGAAATTAATTTAAAAAAATCCATTTGTTCTTTGCCGTTTTTTTTTGTGCGCACTGTGAATATATGTTTTGTTTTGTTTGCAATATTCAAATGTAGTATGGAAATGATATTGGGATATGACTA